TACAAATATTCTCCTTTATAGATTCCTGTAACAGTTCACAGCAACTGTTGGTTGAAGCCATTTCAGAAACCAAAAAATAACCTCACCTGGAGGGAAATGCATCTTCTTCGGGCCTTTAAATTGCTAAAATAAGTTAATAATCTGATGTCTTTTTTGAATAAATCATGAGAATAATATTTATTTATTAATATGCTCCTCAATTAAACTGGACCCTAGGAGGTTTACAATAACACAGTAACCATACAAATACAGAAACATAAAATATAAGCGATATATAACTGCAATAAAAACTAATGCACACTAATGCATAAAATAAAACCAATCCCCAAAGGTCCTCATGAGAAGCCAGTTTACGTCTCTTACCACTTACCACTTTCTAATCTAGAGGCCCATCCCAGTTGGCACCATCCTTATTTCAGAAGGCCATTTATTCCATACAGAGAACACTCACAGTTAAAAACACAAAACTGGAGAATCTATTCCTCCTCCTCCTCAGAGTAACAGATGCATCCCTGAGTATTTTTTGTAATGACTATTATTTTCTGTTACAGCCAGCCATGCTTTTTGTGCCTTACCAAGTCAACAGAGGTGCAGTAGTCACACCTGAACCAAATCCTCCTCCCCCACCACCGACTTACAATAACGTGGTTACCAAATCTCAATAAAACAAGAAGGAAACGTGAGAATTGTTGGCAACAGAGGTTTCAGGAGAAGCAATGCATTTCATATTATTTTATTTTGTATTCCAGCTTGCTTGTTTGTTTTTCAATTACAGCATTTAAACACTAAATTAAATGGTGGCAAGTTTTAAAAGTTCTTCTATTATGCTTAATAATTATAACGCTTCCCAAGAAGCAAGAATTTGTGCTGCGAATCACCAGTGCATTTATTTAATATTTTAATAAAAGATAATAAAAGAGTCAGTTTGGTCTAGTGCACTTTCTGCTTCTCATCCTCTCTTTTCCGGGCACCCCTCCCAGAGCGAGCCAGAAGCCTCAACTCTGGCCTCCCGCAACAGGCTGAGATAGGCGAACCCAAGCGGCCGTCTGCTGCCACCTCAGAAGATTTGCTGCAGCAGCTCTTTCTCCCCATCGGCCTCCTCCTCTGCTCCCTCGGAACTGCGCCAAAAGGCAGAAAGAAGAAAGTCCCAGAGAGGGAGAGCATGGGGTGGGGTGGGGGACAGCAGTCTTTTCTGAGGTGAGGAGAAGCCAGGACGGCAGAGCCGTCCATACCAGAGCTGGACGGGGGCAGGGCAGGTACATGTCTCGCCTTAGGCTCCACTCTTCAATCAAGCCCCCCTGTTGCGATAGATAGATAGATAGATAGATAGATAGATAGAGAGAGAGAGAGAGAGAGAGAGAGAGAGAGAGAGAGAGAGAGAGAGACAGACAGACAGACAGACAGACAGACAGACAGACAGAGACAGACAGACAGACAGACAGACAGACAGACAGGGCCGCGTGGTCCTATCACGCGGTCAATGTGTAAGAAACTAGGTTAGCGGGAAGAGAACCTGTGGCTCAGTGACTAAATCACTGACTAGTATGTATAACTGCCCAGGTTCGAATCCCATAAAGGGTATGGCTAACTGATGAAGGCAAAAAAGCCAGAAATGGTCCATCAAAAAACATTTTTCACCTATTTTGAAAGAAGCTGATAAAGAAGGAAGATTCTTACTTGTGGAAATAAATTTAAGTGGAAGAAAGTGTTTAATAGTGGGGGTTTATGCTCCTAATCAACTGTCATCTCAAAAGTTATTTTATAGACAATTACATCAGAAGATTGTGGCTTTGGATTATAATTCTTTGATTTTTATGGGGGACTGGAATGGGGTACCTGATACTTTAAAAGACAAAAAGACAACTTCTAGGGATGTGGCCCTTTCCAGACTCCCTAAGTCTTTTTTTGCGATGATGGAAGATCTGGAGTTGGTGGATGTTTGGAGATCACAACACATGAATGAACGTGACTTTACTTTTTTTTCTCATAGACATGAGTCTCAAGGATTGATTTTGTCTTGTTATCAACTGACTTACTTACTGACTGTAATAAAACAAAACTTTTTCCTAGAGCTTTGTCAGACCATAGTATGGTATGGATTGAGATAGGTCAACATAAGAAAAGGAAATCTTGGAGAATGAATGAAAACTTGTTCAACCATGAGGAGAAGCTTAAAGTTTTGAAAGATTACATGGAAGAGTTTTTTCAACTTAACCTGAATAAGGAAACCCCTACACATATTGTGTGGGATGCGAGTAAAGCTTACTTGAGGGGTCTGTTAATTTCTATGAACAATGCATATAAACGTAAGCAAATACAGAGTAGAATAAACTTGGAAAAAGAAATTGGGATTAAAGAAAAATTATTATCTCAACGGCCAACAGATATTAACTTGAAGGCTTCTATTAAACTACTTAAGGATCAATTTAATATGTTAATTGCTGATCAGGTGGCCACCAATTTGAAGTATATTAAACATAATACATTTGCTAATGCAAATAAACCTGGGAGATGGTTGGCCTACCAATTACGCAAGAGACAGAAACCTAGACTTATATCCAAAGTTGTGGTTAAAGGCCGTGAGGTTTATCAACATGAATTGATTAAGAAAGCGTTTACAGAATTCTACTCACATTTATATGCTGCTGGGTCTATAAAAATTGAGGACATTGACAAATATATGCAATCTTCATCTATATATAAACTTACATTGGAACAACAGAAATTGATGAATGATGAGATCACTACAGAGGAAATTTTAAATGCAATTAAACAACTGAAAACTGGCAAAGCCCCTGGTACGGATGGCTTGACAGCAACTTATTATAAATCTTTGTCAGCTGAATTGATTCAACCTTTAAAAGTCTTATTTAATAGGATTATGTTGGGAGAACAAGTACCACAGTCATGGACAGGAGCTTTTATATCTTTGATACCGAAGGATGAGAAAGATATTTTGGAACTTAAGGATTATAGACCTATCTCATTGTTGAATGTGGATTATAAAAATTTTTCAAAAATTTTGACTAATAGATTGATGCAGATATTGCAATATTATATACATGATGACCAGACTGGTTTCATATCTGGGAGATACATGAAGAATAATATTAGACAAATCTTGAACTTATTGGAATATTTGGACAAGAATAATCAAGTGCCATCGGCCTTTATTTTCTTGGATGCGGAGAAGGCCTTTGACAAATTGGACTGGCAGTTTTTAAACAGAATACTGGATTACCGTATATACTCGAGTATAAGCCGAGTTTTTCAGCCCATTT